GACAGATGCCCAGACCCCCCGAGCCCCTCTGAGTCCTCACTCCTTGGGAAGTGCCAGCAGGCACCTCAGGCGTGTGGAGAAACGGGGAGGGAACAGTCCATCCCCCATCCCCCACCCCTGCTGCGTTTTCCTTAGCAGGGCAGATATTTAATGGTGACTTTGTGGACCGTGGCTCCTTCTCTGTAGAAGTGATCCTCACCCTTTTCGGCTTTAAGCTCCTGTACCCGGATCACTTTCACCTACTTCGAGGTGAGTCAGGAGGCTGCAGGGTCTGGGGTGATTGCGGGGCCCTTGGTGGGGCACTTACTTTCCCTGCTATGAGCCTCTATTTCCTTCTTTATAAAGCGAGGATAATAGTTGCAGCCATGCTTATTTTGTGGATTCACCAAGATCACACACAGGGCTGCCTTATAAGATTGAGCAGGCTGTGCACTGCACAGTAGCATCACACTAGGGGCAGCATTCACATCACAGTGTAGGTGTGTATGTTATCATGACCATTTTCCAGCAGATGGCAGTCAAGGGTCTTGAGGAAGGGGGACCTTTTTTAAAATTTGCACAAGGGCATGAAACAAGCTCTTGGGTGGTCCTAATCAGGCAATAATGTCAAGCCGAATAACTGAATGAGGGTTTTGTTAACATGAAATGTGATCATTCTTAGGAAGGGAGTTTCCTTCCTTTATACCCTCACCTCAGCCTAAAGACTCTAGGGCTTTAAGCTTCTTCCCAGAGGAGAAAGGGAAGATTCCTACAAACCAGAAAAAGAAAGTGGCCCTGCCCTGACACTTGCTTCTCTATGCACACTCCCCCTAGAAGAGGCAGAGGCGCCTCCATGGAAAGGAAAGGGGCCTGAGGTGTGGGGTGGGAGGGCAGGAGAATTATATTACTTATTTCCCACCAAGAGAAATGTAAAAAAAAATTTTTTTTTTAATGAAAACTCCAAAAATGATGAGACAGGGTTGGGTCATCTTTGAGAGGAGAGGAGGTAGTGGGGTCACTGGAAGGCTGCAGGCTCCACCTCTGTGTACCTCGGTCTTGTCTGTACAGTGGGAGTTGTGGTAGTATTAGCCTTCCGGGGCTGTTGTACGGATTCCTTCTATCCATCAGTTCAACTGAAGTCTCCTGAGCACCACTGGGTGCTTGCTCCCCACGGGGTCCCCGGAGTAGTACAGGGGCAGGCATTTTGCAAGTGCTACAGGTGAATTTTGTGTTAGAAGGTGGGAGGTGCTCTAGCATGGGAGGAAGCAGGGAGGGAGAACTGGGAACGAGGTGGGAGGCTGCTTACTTGTCCCACCACCCCAGGCCCAGGGAGGGAAGAGTGAGGTGGTGCCAGCTAAGGGGGGGCACAGTGTGGGGCCTGGCCACAGCAGATGCTCTGCAAATGAGCTCATGTTTTGTTGAGATCCTCCACAGGTACCTCCAGCCTGGAAGGCACCATGTGGGAAGCCCAGGGCCCAGAGAGGCAAGGGACACACAGATGGCTCAGGGTCAGGACAGAGCCCAGGCCTTGGCCACTTCCTTGGCAATGGAGCTGTTAGTACAGGTCTGGACCTTGAAGCCCTTGTGGCTATGAGCCTGCGGATGCTTCTCAGCCTCAGTTTGCTCCTCCAGAAAATGGGCTGAAAACTGTCTACACCTCATTGGGTTTCTGTGAAGGGCCAGTGAGTTGATGCATGAACATTGTGGGCTTGGGTACTGCCAGCCACCAGTAGACAATCCTCCCTGCGTCCCTGGGCCTGTACCTGCGGGCATCCAGGCAGGGGAATGCTGGTAGACATGGATGCTGAGGATTCTCTTCTGTCCCATTGTTGGCCAGGCAACCACGAGACAGACAACATGAACCAGATCTATGGATTTGAGGGCGAGGTGAAGGCCAAGTACACAGCCCAGATGTACGAGCTCTTCAGCGAAGTGTTTGAGTGGCTCCCGTTGGCCCAGTGCATCAATGGCAAAGTGCTGGTAAGGACGGAGCAGGGACCTCACCACACGTGGGCAGACGTGCTGCAGAAGTGGGCCAGGGGCTGGGGATGGCTGGCTCCTACCCTCACGGTGGCCATCCTCTCCCCAACTCCCCAGATCATGCATGGGGGCTTGTTTAGTGAAGACGGCGTCACCCTGGATGATATCCGGAAGATTGAACGGAACCGGCAACCCCCTGATTCAGGTGAGTGGGGCAGGGCCAGGTGGGCAGCTCCTTACTTCCTGGGGCCTCAGTGTCTCCAGCAGAGAGGAATCACCTGGGCCAGATTTGAACTGCCACTACTATCCTGCCATGATGAGCTTTGCATCCTTGGCTAGGAGTGGCCAGTCTGAGCCTCAGTTTCCCCACCTGTAACTTTGGCCAGTGTACTCCCTTGTGAGGCCTTGCTGGCAGGAGAGCATTAGCGTCCACAGCACGGGCTGGGGCCATGGTGAGCACTGAGCACACACCCGTCATAGATTTACCCATAAGCTCAACTGCTGGACCCAGTGAGTGAGGTGTTCGACACCATTCTAGTGATGGGGACGTGTTCACACATGCACACACACACAGTGCACGTGTTAGGGGAGGACATGGATAGGGTGGGGTGGTGATGGGTGGTTAGGGAGGTGACATTTGAGCTGACACTGCAGGAGAAAGAGGGGCCTTCTGGGCACACAACCTGGGAAGTACATTCCAGGCTTGCACAGGGAGAACGTGGTGGGTGGGAGGAACAGCAGACAATCGTGGGTGGGCAGAGTTGTGCTATGAGGGCTGATGTTGGGCTAGAGGTTAACCGGGGCCAGATCCTGCAGAGCCCTGCAGGCCTCAGTGAGGAACCTGGTCTTCGTTCCTAGGGCAGTGGGGAGCCACAGAGGGCTTTGAGCAGGAGAAGGACCTGATCTGAAGTGGGGTGTTCAAAGCTCCATCTGGCTTCAGGGCCATAATGGATCAAGTGGGGTCTGGAGGGGAGATCAGTGGGGAGATGGGCTGGCTCAGAATCACGGCTCACATGCCTTGAGGTCCCCAGCCCTGTCCACAGTGATGTCCTCTGCCCGATCCCCACTCAGGTTGTTATGTGTGGTGGGAGCCAGGTGGTGGCCTGTGAATGCCCGCCCCCAGGGAGGTGGACAGTCCCTGACATTCCCTCCACTCCCTACCAGGTCCCATGTGTGACCTCCTCTGGTCAGATCCGCAGCCTCAGGTGAGTCTATGGGAAAAGGGTGTGGAGATGGGGGTCCAATGCCAGCAGGTAGGGGCTGGTGCTGAATGGGTTGGGAGGACTGACAGTCACCCTGAACCCCCATCTCTACCTGCCCACCCCCAGAACGGACGCTCAGTCAGCAAACGGGGAGTGAGCTGCCAGTTTGGGCCCGATGTCACCAAGGCCTTCCTGGAGGAGAACCACCTGGACTACATCATCCGTAGCCACGAGGTCAAGGCTGAGGGCTATGAGGTGGCACACAGTGGCCGCTGCGTCACCGTCTTTTCCGCCCCCAACTACTGGTGCGTCCCTGCCTTCCCTACCCCTGGTTTCTCTCTCCAGTCCACAAGATTTGTTCTGTCTTTGTTTTTAACTTTCTGTGGTGGAAAGTTTCAGAGATATGAAAGAGTAAGTAATACAGTGTGATGAACGCCATGTACCCATCATGCAGCTCCCACAGTCACCAGCTAGGTCGCTCTCTCATCAGCTAGGCGCTAAGCAGCTTGCCCCACTGTGGGCTATTTAAAAGCAAACCCCAGGCATTAATCTTCTTCCACCAAAACCCCAGGATGTTTCTAAAACGAAGAACTTTTTTCCTTTTCTTAACATAACCATAATACTATTGTCACACCTTTAAAAGAGGAGTAGCAATTCCTTGCTATCACCTAAATCCAGCCAGAGTTCCATTTCCACTCCCACCTGTCTCTCTTAAATGTGTTTTTTCAGTTGACTTCTTCCCCAACCCCCTGCCCCATTTATTCGTTGAAGAAACCAGGCCACATGGCCTGTAAAGTTGCCTGAACCCTGGACTAGTCTAACTGTATCCCCGTGGTGCCATTTGATGGACCCCTTGGTCCCCTGTACCTCCTGGTGAGGTGATCAGGTCTTGAGTCTAGTGTTGGTGAAGGTTCCCCTGCACATGGCTGTGTGCCCCCGCCCCCCACCACTTTTTGCATGGTGGCCTCTGCTTGCCTGCCTGTCCCTCCCTGCTCCCACTACTCCCTTACCTCCACCCTCTGTTTCCCTCATCGCCCCTCCTCCTGCCTGTGTTCTCGGGGCCCCTCTTTGGTCTGGATTCCTCTCTTTTTCCCATCCCTGTCTCTGTCCATCTGTGTCCTTGGTTCTCTCCATGTCCCTCGGCTCTCTCCATATCTCTGTCCATGTCTGTCATGGCTCTGTCTCTGTGTCTTCTCTCTGTCTCTCTCCGTCTCTCTTTCCCTTCTGCCTGGCCCTTTGTTCTCTTAACCCCCAGCCCCACGCAGCCCCTGATCACACAGCCACTCTGCTCTTATCCCTGCAGCGATCAGATGGGGAACAAAGCCGCCTACATCCACCTTCGGGGCTCCGACCTGCGGCCCCAGTTCCACCAGTTCACAGCAGTGGTGAGTCCCCCTCAAGTCCCCCGTCCTTCCTGGCTGGGCCTGGGGAGGGAGAGGCTGAGAGGCCTGGCCAAAGGGGTGGGGTGGATTCTACATCCAGGTGCTCAGAGGGTCCGCCTGAAGCCAGTTCTTGTCTGACTCTGTGTCCGTCTTATCTGCCCCTGGCTCCGCAGCCTCACCCCAACGTCAAGCCCATGGCCTATGCCAACACGCTGCTGCAGCTGGGAATGATGTGAGGCAACGGCGGCCTGTGTCTTGGGGCCCCTCCACCCCCACCCGACCCCAGGCCCAGGCTGGGGGCAGAGCAGGCCCCGCCCCAGGGCAACGTTGGACCCCCTTTTACTTTGTAAAGTTTGTATTTATTCCCCTTTAGGTTCGCAGAGGGGGTGGGGGCAGAGTCAGGGGCCGGCCAGAGGGTCCACTTCCTGGATAAAGAGGAAGGAGCTGGCGAAGCTGGGGTTGGGGGCACAGCCCGGGCATTCTGGAGGGAGGCCAGCCTCGGGGCAGGATGGGGCCAAGCGGCACCCTGCTCCCCTCGATGTGTGGTTCCTCCCCCACTAAAGCAATAGGGCCCTGCCATAGGAAGACCCCCAGAGAGAGGGTCATCAGGGAGGCCTCGCCTGCATCCCCCTCCTGGTAGCCCCAGGGTGGGGCTAGGCTGGGGCCCACCCCCTTCCCCAGCTATTTTATGTCTGTAATTAAATATGTTAAAATAAAGTCATTATTGTATGTCAGCTTGTCTTGGACGGTGGAGCTGCTGTGGCTTCCAGGGTTGGGGCGACCATCTCAGGAGATGTAAGGGATGGGGGAACCACTCAGTCCCTCTTGCCTTGTCTTATTGGATGTCTTGGAGCTGGACTGGCCACACTCAGGGTGACCCCCAAGTTGTCCCCGTGTGTACCTGACATAGTGGGCTCCTGAGGGAGAGTCCTGCCGCCTGGGATGGAAAGTGTCCCGTCAGCAGTGCATCTCGCACACAGGGGGACAAAGCCCAGATTGGGCCAGTGAGGCCAGCTGGAGCAAAGGCTGTAGGAAGCTCCTCATCCTTCCTTCTGCCCGACCCTCAAGCATGTATTCAGCCAGCGCTGCTCTGTGCCCACCTCACCCTCTGTGGCTTGTGGTCCACCAGGCAGATTCCTTTCAGGGTAGGCACAACATTGGTTCCTGACATCACACGATGAGGTAGATCTTTCCAGTCACCAAGGGAGNCTTGGTAAGCAAGAATTCTCCAGCAGGCAGGACAAGGGCAGAGAAACAAGTTTAAATTAAAAAGTTACCAGTGGCCATAGTCACAGTGGGAAACAGTCTGGCAGGACCTCTGGAGGTTCAACAGAGTTTCCATCTGTTATGGGCTGAATTGTGTGTCCCCCTCCCTCAAATTCATGTGCGGATCCTAACTCCAAGTACCTCAGAACATGACTGTGTTTGGAGAAAGGGCCTTTCCAGAGGTGGTTAAGGTAAAAAGAGGTCACATGGTTGTTCCCTAATCCAACCTGACAAGTGTCCTTATAAGAAGAGGAAATTAGGACACACACGCACACAGAGGGAAGACCATGTGAAGACAAAGGGAGAAGATGGCCATCTGTATGCCGAGGTGGGAGACGCGAGAAGAAACCAGCCCTGCCGACACACTGAGTTTGGACTCTGGCCCTCAGAATTGTGAGAAAACAGATTTCTGTTGTTTAAGCCACCCACTCTGTGGTACTTTGTAATGGCAGCCTTTGGTGTGAAGAATAGGATGCTATTCGTGTGGTAGTGTGACGGCTGTCAGAATCAAGATGGAGTCACTTATGTCAAAAGCCCTGATAAATGGGGCCAGAGAAGGTCATGAGGTGAGGGTTCTCACGTACCGAA